TATTTTTCCACTCATATTGATATTTAAATAATTTAAATCTAAATTCTGAACGGCGTTAAATTTCCGGAATGGAATAGAATCATTCTTTGCTTGGGTTGGTAGACCGCAGAACTTTTAGTCCTATTCAATCCAGATTGGAAAGTGACATACACACACACACACACACAAAAAAAAAAAAAAAAAAAAAAAAAAAAGGTCCATTGCTTGTTTTGCAGCGAACTGTAACAGTTTCAATATTCGAGATTTTGCGGAGAAAGGGGAGAACCTCCCAATCTTCGTACTGTATAGTGTATTGGCCAAAAAAAACAAAATTATTTTTACTAATCGATTACTTTCCCTTTATTTAAGCCATTCCGAATATTATTCCTTAGAAAGCTAATCTGTGTTAAAACACAAACATTTTTAAAAGTTTACTATACTTCAGCAGTTACTGCAACTATGTTATAATAAACATTCATACATATGCTCATAATATAAGCATAACGATCACAATAAACACGAATATAAACTGACCAAGTGGAACGAGAATGCAAATTATTAAGATCGTGATAGAAATTCAAATGTGTGTAGTATTTGGGTGGGAGGAAAAGAATGCCGAATGTACCGGGATTTTCTACTGCTTTCGCAATTCTTTGACCAATAGAATGATGGGCACCTGTCTGTACTCTTCGTGCATACCAAAGGTTATGTTAATGCAGAGAAAGAAGAAAAGCTGTTTCTGGGAGTATGATTCAACATCTGACATTCCATATTAGGAAGAAAAGTTGTTTATTTAGTTTCGGCTTTGGTACGGAGAAAAATAGTGCGTTCATTAAAAAAAAAGCACTAAAAGCAAAAAATAAGCACTAAAAACAAAAAAATAAGGGCTTTAAAGAAAAAGCAAGCACCTATAAGGGCCTTTATATTTTATTTTCAAATATAAGGACTTATAAGCACTTATAAGGACCGCTACGAACCCTGGGAAATTTCCTTTGTGTAGTACTAAGATGAATTTCCTTTTTTATGTTATATCATTGTATGATTTAAAATTAGTTTATTGAGATTATATAATTTTTTGTTAGGCTGCTCCTTTGACTTTTTAAGTACATATAGATTTCGAATGTGTACATGGACAAAGTCAAGGGAAATGCGCAATGGCCTAGTTTGTGCAATTATCTGAATGTTTTTTTTACGTAAAAATAGGTCGATGTGTACATGGATAAAATCAAGGGTGTGCACGATGCCAAGTTTGTGCTTCTCTGAGTTTTTTTAAGTGAAAATAGGCATTGTACTTACTGAGTTTGTGCATTTCTTTGATTTGTTATTTTGGATTTGAGTAGTGGCGATTTTTGGCATAAAAAAAGACCGCTACACAAAGCCAAAATAACAAGTCAAAGACTTGCAAAAACTCTGTGGCCATGTACTGCCAAAAATCGCCAAGGAGCACCCATAAATATATTTTTACCTAACTATGTAAAATCCATAATAATTTCCACCTCCATGTGTAACAAAACCACTGTAATTCCTCAAATAAGTTACAGTCTAATCCTCAATTCTTTCAATTATATCATGTTGTCCCTCCAGTACATTTCGGAAATCTGAAGCAATGGGTTTGTCATTATCAAAGAATGAAAAATGGTAAATTTGGTGTAAGTTTAGACAATAAATGTCTGATGAAAACTTATGAAATGCTGAATCAGGTTCATAATAATATCCCATTCCAAATTCTTTGAATGGTACCTACATTTTCCACACTTGCAAAAAAACATAAAATATAATAGATATGCTTGTGACATTTCATATGAAATGATAATAAAATTCTGTGACAACAGACAACAAATGATACAACTAATACACATTGTTGCAAAGATAATTCAGACCATTTGTTACTGGCTACTGAGAGAGAATATGAACATGTAAAGAATATGACAATACATTATTTTATGTGTAGTGATAAAAGACTAAGTGGTTATAGAGATTGAAATGGACAGCATTTCTATAGCTTCTGCCTCACCTGCCTAGCAAAAATTACAAAAAAAAAAAAAAAAAAAAGTGTTTCACATTCAAGCTGTACAGCAAGCAGTCTTCAGATATGCAGAATATTTCAAAGGTAAAAATATATTTACGGGTACCCCTTGCCGAAAAATTGGCGATTTTTGGTGGTACATGGATAATGAGTTTGTGCAATTCTTTGACTTGTTATTTATTTTGGCTTGTGTAGCGCCGATTTTTGGCGCAAAAATGTATAGGCAAAAAATCAACCTTAGATTAGCAAAAATTTTGCCATATATGTTCAAAACTATGCAAATCTAATGTTGTTTTTCAATTAAGTTTGAATAACTGTCATTATAGTTATCTTAGAAGCAGTAGTAGAATTCTGTTAGCATGCAGATAAAGAAATGATTATAAATAGGCACATTAAAAAAAAATAATTAAAAAAAAAAAAAAACAGAAATTGGGGGAAATGAAACTTAAAGTTAAGAGTAGCACATTTTCTATATTATTTTAATATTGAGTAAATATTATTAAATCTTTTAATGTTCAGTATAAAATGCATACAGCAGTAACATTATCTCTTCCAAATTACAGCTATCTTTCACACACAGTTCATTTTAAACACTGGTTCCTCAAATTTAAAACGCTAATTTCTATGTTGTGAATTGCATTTCCGAGCTCTGTGTCAATATGAATACAGCATCACTTCTCACTTCCTGTTTCAGGGATAAAAGCTCTTTGCTTCTTTTCTAAGTCTTGTCAATTACTTCATTTTATATATTTCAGAATATTTTAAGTCTATGACACTTATATTGCACATAACCATCTTTTAAACAATGTACATAAAATAAGAGGCTATTTCAAAACTCCTTTTTACTAGCATTTGTAACATCCACTGTTTGCTACTGATATAAACTTCACTCATAATACATATTCAGAAGTTTAAAATTACCACTGTGCTTACTAATGCATCTCAATAGCACACAATGTTGCAAATAGAATTTCAAAGCAATTTAAACATACAATTACTGCTTGACATAAATATCCATATATATGAAACATTTTTTGCCCAAAAGACACTTACTTAAGTAACAAACAGCAATTCTGCACAAAAAGATTTTGGATAATTATAAATGAATACCAATAAATGAATTAACATTAAGCTAACAAAATATTCTCACTTGCTGCTACATAATTAAAACTTTAAATTCATATAACATAGAAAATTATAAATTGTGTTACAGTTTCAAAACTAACAAAATCTTACAGTCAATGAAAACCTCAACTCTTAAATTCTTGGTTAAGGAGATTCAGCTGTGTCCCACATGACCTGCCTACCAACTGCCGAGTATTAAAATTGATGAATATTAGTAGCTTGACTAAAGTTCAATTAGTAGCTTGACTAAAGTTCAATTCCAGGTAAAATGGCTGGCTGCATGGGCATTTCCCTGTTTTCTCCACGCGTAATGTGGATATGAGCCAGTCAGTTTCCCTCGGAAAGTCTTTTATGGAGGCATCCCTTTCCCTAGGCAGATAGCTCTAGCATGATCAAATAAACAAAGCCCAGATATGACCTAATAAAGATTTATCAACAGTTCTATCATTGTATACTGTTTATTTTATATACATGCAAAACCTAATTTCAAAGAATTAAATTATTGTAACAAACACACCATAAAAATAAGCAAACCAAATAACTCATTCCAAATATTATCCTTTTCCTTTTCTTCCATATTCAACACTATACATTTTAAACACTGTAAATTTAACATTATTATTAGCCAAATGACTTACATTGTAAGGATCTTAAGTTTTACTAACGTTTATTTTATTTTAAATCTTTACTATCACTTCTTATTTTCTACTTCCGGCCAGAATTATAAGCGTTAACGTATTTATGCAAAGTTTCTCTGGCGAGCGCCAAGTATTTAAGTTGTGGCTTTTTGCCAAGCGAAAGTATTTGTAAGCATTTTTAATGTTTTGTTATGAATTCGTTGGTGACGTTTATAATAGATAATTTAGAGGTAAAAGTTTTTGGATATTTTATTTATATTATACGTGAAAAAGTTCATCCTTGGATAGGGTATATACATTTTCGCTATCAGGTAATTTCATGTATGTGCTTTTTACCGAGTTTAAAGATTCAGAAAATTTTCCTGCATTTTCGTGCAAATTTTTGTAATTTATGAGAAAATAGCAGTGTAGATGGATAAAGTCAAGAGTGTGCGCAATGCCATTTTTGTGCAATTCTGGGATGTTTTTTTAAGTAAAAATAAGTCGACGTGTACATGGTTACTCTGTATGTGCGATTTTGAAAAACGCGGCAAGGAGTTTGCGATTCTGCACTGTTTTCCCAATTTTGCAGTTAATATTTGTCATGATTAAGCAGTTTTGTTCCATAAAAATTTCTAGCATAAGTGTAATTCGGCTAGCAGATTGTTGGAAAAAGTGTTCAGTAAATAAAAAGAAAAGAAACATGTCTTTACTTCGTGAAAACAAAATGGCGGCGAAAAAAAAAAATAGAGGGTTGCTGTAGCAGAGTTGGTCGCCAAAAAATCGCCAAGTTACCATAATTCAAAGATCAACCCAACATTTTAGTGGTTCTCAAATGCTCAGATCTTTTCCTTACATGTATCTGCAAGCAAATGACACCAAATATAACATACAAAAGTAAAAAAAGAAAACTTTTTTTTTTTTTTTTTTTGGCAAAAACCTGGAAAAAATCAAAATGCTTAAAAACCTAAAAAGGTCATTTACAGTAATTTACATCAAGGGGTGAAAACCTTAAGAATTAAAAAAAAAAAAAAAACAAATTTTTTCGAAACTAAAAAGCTTATTAGATCTAGTTATTTTAAAACATAAACAAGGGCAGCTCGAAAGCATGCTAAATAATCTTTTTTTTCCCCCTCATGAATCTTAATTGTTTAAAATTACTCATAAGAAAAACTCATAATAAACAGCTATAATTATACTTCAGTGCGATTCTATTACATTTTAGATAGTTGCATGACAAGATTTATAATTACCCAAATAGCCAGATTAACTCGCTTGCCACCAATATTTAACTTCTTATTGAGAAATGAAGCCTAAAACATAAAAAAGATCAAAATCTAAATACATATAATATGAATGAAGTCTATCAATCAAATTTTATAAATTAAAGGCACTTTGGGCCTGTCAGCCACAAATGTTTATTATAATAGATTACATGTAACTAAATATAACAGAAAAATACTACTCCAGAAATTAAAAATGAAATATTTGTTATTATATTTATTAGAATGAAATAAAAGTTAACTTTGGCAAAAAATATTATTGAATTCACATCTAAATACACTATTGTTCCTAAATACTGGCCCAACCAGTGGCCAAATGGCTCAGGCTGCTGAGTATTTGTAGTTAAGATTGGGAGTGTGATTTTCCCCATTTTTAATGTGAATGCAAATTAGTTTCCCTTAGAAAGTCCTCTATGACGACATCCCACCCCTTAGGCAAACTGCCCCAATAATTTTCTAAATACTGTATATTTCACCGATGATCTTAAATTAATGCATAGACGAAATTAAAGAATTTGAAGCAAAATATGGTTTTTAAAATTAGTTAATAATTATGGCTTTTTGACATATTTTATAAGTCTTATGGCCTCATTAATTCTCTTAACTTCTTGTAAATATATGTGGTAGTTTTATTGCTCAATTCAGTTCTCATATTGATATATTACACTAGAAAATCTTAGCAGGATTTAAAAAACACACACAAATAAAAGGTAAATTAGGTACTTAAATAATGACTTACTTGAAGAGTGCTTAGGTGTTTCTCGTGAAACTTATTCTCAACATATCGAAGGACCAATGAGGTTTTACCAACACAACCTTCTCCAAGAAGTACCACTTTAAATGAAAAACTGCGTCCTGTTCCAGCATTTGTGGCCATTGCAGTAACAAATACAAACAAAAGTAGTGAGGTGATTTACTTGAATTATTGTAAATAATATCTAATACTGATCACAGAACCCAAAAAACAAGGAAATGATTCACATCATTCAAACGTATATACCACTTCAACTTAAAAAGAAATTCTTCAGAAAATAATGACTTTTAAGGAAACGTAAAAAAGGGTCAGACAAGTTTTAACTCCAACTATGTTTTATTTATATATCGAAATTATTTTTTTCTTCGTCAACGATAATAAATCGAAAAAAAAAAGGGAGCGACAATCACTTTCACATTATCAAACGAAGACACATTTTCGTCCCACAGCTTCTAACAAAATATTCAAAACGTTTGTGGCTCAGTAGAAGTTGCCAGCCTAATTAAACTTCCCTCCCCCCCCCAAAAAAAAAAGTCAAATATGAAAGTGATAAGAATATTCGACTCAAATTAAAAAATTTATATTCGTAACTTGTGTTAAATATGCGTATAGTTTGCTTCTGTAAGTACTGAAATGTTCTGAAAGCGTTAAGCGGCTTACAATTTGTTAATGCTCTTTACGGAGAAAATTGCAACGCAATGCCATTTTCCTCTTTTTCTAATGGAAGAAGGGATATAATCTAGAAAGTACGAATTCTATAGATTAAACACAAATGGAAACGTTAAATACGGATACTTAGATTGGATGATTCCTTTAACAATTAAAGCATGGTAGTTGCCGCAATGCGTATTGTTGCGCATGTTTTCAGCTTCACTGTTTCGCAGAGTTGAATTTCCTCTAATGTCCTTAATATTTATTCAACGATAGGGAATTTCCCGCCCCTAGCAAAGCGCCGCCCGGGGCAGGTACCCCTTTGCAACCCACGCTACGCCGCTAGTTATTACGAACACATATACAAAAGTTTACATCATGCTGCGGTCCAAACTGTTTTATCACTCGTAAGGGAACGGTTTTGGATTCCTCGTGGTCGAAAAGTAATTGGACAAGTTATTTCTCGCTGCATACCATGCAAGAGACATTCAGTTAAAGCCACAGAACTAGCTCCACTTTCACTTAGCAGAACAAACAGAGTATCAGTCTTTCAAGTAACATGTACAGATTTAGATGGCCCTATTTTTTCTTCGAGAAGGTATTTTAAAGCTTGGATAGTTTTATTTGAGTGAGCTGTATTTCATGATGTGCATTTAGAGCTAATCATATCCTTATCAACCAATGCATTTATGCAAGATTTACGTCACTTTTTTTACTTGGGGAGGAGATATTCCATCATATGTACCGACAACAGAATACTAAACTTATTAAACATTATCACAAAATTTACTTTAATGGAGAAATATACAATATATATTTTATTTATTAACGAAGAATATATAAAATATATATTCATTATTGAGAGAAATATTTAACGATGAATGTAGAGTGCCTCTGCCTAAAGTATTCTTAAATTGATATTAATGAAAACACAATCATATCAAACGAACTTAAACCATGAATTAAATAAAGTAACAAATTATGTGAAATTGAACAATTATGAGACTTATAAATTGGATTTGAAACTTATTTACTTTTTCATCTCATATGTCAAAATTTAAGTTTGATCTATTTCCTAAGCATGTTGTTTATCGTAAATTATCTACCCATAACTGTTAAATTTCCTTTTAATTCACGGTTAAAGTTCATTTGTATGATTGTGTTTTCATAAATATTAATTTAAGAATTCTTCAGTCAGGACCACTCTTCATACATCGTTAAATGTTGTTTCTCCCTTAAAATAAATGTTGTGATTATGTTTAATAAGTCAAGTATACATCTATTTCAAGGCAAAAGGTGGGAGAAAGTTAAGAATCGTTTTCTGTATTTATTATTTGACTCCAAATGGTAATGTTTAATTTTTAGAATTCCGAACCTAGTTTTAAAATACATATTTTAAGAATGTTTCTATGAATACAAGTTATTTTCAGGAAATGTTTTTTCAGCTGTTTTCATAATGACATCCATATTTATTTAGAATAAAAATCTACTGATTCTGCTGATGAAATACTAGACACAGAAATGATATTAAAATGGTGCGCAATAATGCTGCTGATTTTTCGGAGCCAAAGTTAAATATTGTGGCTTCAAAGAACGCAAAAGTGAAACAGAAAAATGAATGCAATTTCAAATATCAAAAATGTTCAAATACCAGCAAAAGTTCCTAATTTTAAGAGAAATGTGATTACAGTCAATTGAATTTTAACTTGAGGACTGATTAGTATGTATAAGTTAATGTTTAATAAAAGAATCTTATGAAAATTACCTAAATCTGAATGATAAAGAAAATACTCTACTTTATTTTAATAAAACGGCTCAGTACAATAGTTTTGTTAATGCCAAGAGCAAAGAAACACTTTAACTTGTATTATGAATATGAAAATAAAGCACTTGCTTTTTAATTATTATTAATTAAACATCAGACATTTCTAAAAGTTTGACTATTCGGTGTAAAATTTAATTTTTCATTAATAAGATAGATGTTATTTCCACTACTTTATAAAGTGTTTTCTCCCTCCTTTTCGCATATCTTCGTGATGCAGTTGGAAGCATACTCATCGCGTATTCCAGAGATCCAGGGTTCGAGTCTCAAGGAGGACACTGCACATTTTTCACGTCCCCTGCTTCAACAGAACCTAATGAGTCTACTAGTGGAGGCTGAACTAAAAAAGGTGGTGGACGATAATTCGTCGTCACCAGGATTTGGCGACTGGGTCCCCTAATCCCGAGTCACCCTTTAAAAGGGGGAATATATGAGGTATTTTCTCCCTCCTTTCCTCTCGTGCCTCACATGCATTCGCGGTGTAATCGGAAGCATACTCGACGCTTATTCGAGAGGTCCAGGTTTCGAATCCCGGCGAGACATTGACCATTTTTCAAGTCTCCTGCTTCAATGAATGACTCTGCAATTTCTCCTGATTTAAATTATCTCCTTTTCATCTTCCCTAAACATCATTAATGATTTTCACCAATACAATAATGTTGGAGAATTTTTTGGTGACAAAAGAACCTGTGCATCCGAGTCAGACTGTTTGTCTTGTTTTGATTGATTCATCTTTGGACACATAATGCTATGGTGGTTTTTCTTGCATATAATACACTTTATATAAGCTTTGCATATCTCAGAATTGTATCTACTAGTTTCAAACAAACGAAACAAGGCCCCTTTCCTTCAAAGTTTCCTTTTTCGCCTCCAGCTACATCTCGGCAGCCTTGAAGCATTCTGAGGTATTATAAAACCACTTTTTACAAAAAAAAAAAAAAAAAAAAAAAAAAAAAAACAATGCTTGCCATTTTTCTCAGCTCTTTGCGTTTCATTAGATACAATACAAGATCCAGTGGGAATTTTTTCTTTCACTTTAAATTTTTCAAATTCTTGATCATTCGCAAACCCTGATCAAGCATCAAGCAAGTTGTAACCGCTCTTCACTTTTGACTTCCAAACGAAGAAAGTCTAATAAGTTTTTTAACATGTTCATCTCTCCTGCTTTAAAATAACCTAATGATTTTACAAGGTAAAGCAATGGAAATACTTATGAAATAATTCTATGTCGACAATCTAATCACAAGTGGCAAAAATAAAGATGAATGCATGACACTACAAATGCAGTCCAAAGATGTTATGAAAAACGGTTGTTTTGATTTACATTTCTGGCATGCACAGGAGACGAAGATCAAGATCATTCAGTTCTTGACTTAAATTGGAATACAGTGACTGACGAAGGTAAGTGCACGTTCCCCAAGGCAATAAGAAATTTAGAAGATATTGGTACTAAGAAATGTTACTTTCAAAAGTTAAAAATAACGTTTACGATCCAATTGGTTTTACACCCCCTGCTATGCTGTTTCCTATGTTTCTCTTGGAAGAGACTTGGAAAAGCAAAATAAGTTCGGATGACCCAGTTCCCAAGGATCTTCAGCTAAATATAATAGCTAGATGAAACACAGTCATTGCTTTCAAGAATGCTCTATTCCAAGTAGAATGCTTCATAGATAGACAGAAGATCCCCCTTTATACTTGTTTTCAGATGCATCAAGTAATGCTTATGCTTGCTGTGCATACCTATGTTGTAGGGAAAATTGAGAAGTATTTGTCAATTTAATTTCTGTTAAATCAAGAGTTTCACCAATGAATCGTTTAACTATACCCCAATTGGAGTTGTTAGGAGTTTTGCTTGCTGCTCGTTTAGCTCAAACTATAAAAGTTACACTGAAATTTCCTCTTAAAATCCTTTCTTGGACAAATTCTATGGCGACACTAGCTTTGATTTTGAATAAAACACTTCTGTTGGAAACTTAAGAAAGGAAATCAGAGAACTAACAGATATGGAAAACTAGAGATACGTTTCGGGAGAGCATAACCCTGTCAACGTCTCATCTCGATCATGTACTTGGAAGGAGCTTGTGAAAGAAAAAATGGTTGGAATGTCCCTTGTGGATGACGAATTCCAATGAAATATGGCAAAAAGAATCCATAACTTGTTCAGAAGGCGCACTGACTGAAACAAGAAAAGTTTTGATAGGTTCAACAAATATTCAAGACAACGAAAACTTCTGCTAAAAATTTCTTACTTTTCTGGTTAGCCTAAATTTATTGCGCATGATAGCCAGGATTTAAAGAACTTGCAGAATTTTTAAGAATAAAGAAACGAAAATGTCAATGAATTAAAATGCCAAAAAAAATTACTGAAGTTGAAGTTTTGCTCATCAAAATCATCGAGCGTGAGTGGTGCTCTGAAAGTAAGAGAAAATATGAAGGAACAATAGAGTTTAATTAAGAAAATGGTTTATTGAAGGTGAAGACTCGACTTCTTCTTGGAGAAGACAGTTGATGATTTTAAATACCAGATTGTTTTACCTGATCACTTAACAGTCAGACGTTATTAGTTATTACGAACACATATACAAAAGTTTACATCATGCTGGGGCCCAAACTGTTTTATCACTCGTAAGGGAACGATTTTGGATTCCTCGTGGACGAAAAGTAATTGGACAAGTTATTTCTCGCTGCATACCATGCAAGAGACATTCAGTTAAAGCCACAGAACTAGCTCCACTTTCACTTAGCAGAACAAACAGAGTATCAGTCTTTCAAGTAACATGTACAGATTTAGATGGCCCTATTTTTTCTTCGAGAAGGTATTTTAAAGCTTGGATAGTTTTAATTGAGTGAGCTGTATTTCATGATGTGCATTTAAAGCTAATTATATCATTATCAAGCAAAGCATTTATGCAAGCCTTACGTCACTTTTTTTTTTGGTTTGGGGAGGTAGAATTTCCATCATATGTACCGACAACA